ATCAACTAGGAATCCGGGCCCCCTCCTACTCGCTCTTATCACCCTCCCTCTTCCCCTCCTAGTAACACTTCCTCTCCTTCTCCTTTACCCCAATTCCATTCATCCCTTCTATCTAACCACCACCAATAATCCGATAACCTAGGCAGGCGAGTAATGGGTTTGTTTACCCACGTACAGCAGTGGGAGGCCTTGACTACCACTCAATATGCGGGAGACCCGTCCATATTGCTCCCCCCCACCACTGTGGGAGAGGGGGAGAGGTCAGGGTGCTCCACCACCACCACTGTGGGAGAGGGGGGAGAGGTCAGGGTGCTCCACTACCACTGTGGGAGATGGGGGGAGAGGTCAGGGTGCTCCACTACCACTGTGGGAGAGGGGGAGAGGTCAGGGTGCTCCACTACCACTGTGGGAGAGGGGGAGAGGTCAGGGTGCTCCACCACCACTGTGGGAGAGGGGGGAGAGGTCAGGGTGCTCCACCACCACTGTGGGAGAGGGGGGAGAGGTCAGGGTGCTCCACCACCACTTTGGGAAAGGGGGGGGGGAAGAGGTCAGAGTATCCCACCACCACCACTGTGGGAGAGGAAGAACAGAACACAGTCCTCCACCACCACTGTGGGAGAGGGGGGTGAGGTCAGAGTACTCCACCACCACCACCACTGTGGGAGAGGAAGAACAGATCACAGTCCTCCCCCACCACTGTGGGAGAGGAAGAACAGATCACAGTCCTCCACCACCACTGTGGGAGAGGAAGAACAGATCACAGTCCTCCACCACCACTGTGGGAGAGGAAGAACAGATCACAGTCCTCCCCCACCACTGTGGGAGAGGAAGAACAGATCACAGTCCTCCACCACCACTGTGGGAGAGGAAGAACAGAACACAGTCCTCCCCCACCACTGTGGGAGAGGGGGGAGAGAGGTCAGAGTACTCCACCACCACCACTGTGGGAGAAGAAGAACAGATCACAGTCCTCCCCCACCACTGTGGGAGAGGAACACCTATCAGACACCTAAAGCACTTACACCAGCACACACACACATCCCCCACTAGAAAAGCCATAACGTCATTAGCACCACCTCCAGCCCCTCCATCCTCAACTTTAAGATCAGAATTGACAAATAGTTCAAACATCAGGCAACTGCAACAGGTACACCAAGGCCAGCAGGCGAGGCATAATATAAACCACACACCTATTTTTCCTCTAGATTCTGACAGCTAAGTAAACAAATACTTATAAATATTATAAATAAAACTACATAAGTAAAAACAACCCCTATACACATGAGGTAATAGGGGGAGAGGGTAAAGGGACATGTAGGGAAGTAGGTAAGAAGGGGTGTTTGGGGAGGTGTTGGAGGGGGGGTGTCCTTCTTAAGAATGTCTTACAATATCTATATTGGTATCACTATTACGTGGGTTGAGAGGTCAGAGGTGAGCCCCAGGAGGTCGCTCTTCGTGGGAATGTTAATTATTTACCTCCTGGAGATGGGACCAAGGTCGCTGAGGGAGTGGTGGTGGTGGTGGTAGTGGTGATAGTGGTGGTAGTGGTAGTGGTGGTGAGGGGGAATGGTGGTAGTGGTGGTGAGGGAAATATGGTGGGTAGTAATGGAGAGGGAGATCATTAAATGCAAATACAAAAATGAATCTTATGCAAGCTATAAATCAAATTTATTTTTTCTGATCTTAACAAGTCTCTCTCTCTCTCTCTCTCTCTCTCTCTCTCTCTCTCTCTCTCTCTCTCTCTCTCTCTCTCTCTCTCTCTCTCTCTCTCTCTCTCTCTCTCTCTCTCTCTCTCTCTATCTCTCTATCTCTCTCTCTCTCTCTCTCTCTCTCTCTCTCTCTCTCTCTCTCTCTCTCTCTCTCTCTCTCTCTCTCTCTCTCTCTCTCTCACTCTCTCTCTCTCTCTGTCTCTCCCTCCCTCTCTCTCTCTCTCTCTCTCTCTCCCACCACCAGCATCACATCCCGCTGGAAAGGAAGAAACCGGTTTGAGCGGAAGACATAAGAGCGTTACAGCATTCGCACTAAGCTGACTGGCAGACTGGCAGAAAGGCTGACTGGCAGACTGGCAGAAAGGCTGACTGGCAGACTGGCAGACTGGCTGACTGGCAGACTGGCTGACTGGCAAGCAAGAGACGTGCAGGCTGGTAGGATGAAAGAGAGGGAGGCAGGAAGGATGAGAAGCTAAACAGTTGGATGCGAGGCAGACTAAAAGATAGGATGATAGGCAGGGAAGCAAGAGAGTGGTGTAGCTTACCCTTGCGTGGATTCCGGGGATCAGCGTCCCCGCAGCCCGGTTCCCGACCAGCCCTCCTGCATGGTTGCTGGACTGGTCAATCAGGCTGATGGACGCGGCTGCTCACAGCCTGGTTGATCAGGTATCCTTTGGAGGCGCTTATCGAGTTTATTCAGCTTAGATGAATTCCTGGATGTTAGGCAAGCACACAACATAGCAGGCCGGCAAACTGGGGCCAGATTCACGAAGCAGTTACGCAAGCACTTACGAACCTGGAGCCAGATTCACGAAAGGACTTACGCAAGCACTTACGAATGTTTACATCTTTCCTCAATCTTTGACGGCTTTGGTTACATTTATTAAACAGTTTACAAGCATGAAAACGTCCCATTTAACTGTTGTTATTGTTATAAACAGCCTCCTGGTGCTTCGGAGCTCATTAACTGTTTAATAATTGTAAACAAAGCCGCCAAAGATTGAGAAAAGATATACAGGTTCGTAAGTGCTTTCGTGAATCTGGCCCCTGTACATCTTTTCTCAGTCTTTGGCGGCTTTGTTTACAATTATTAAACAGTTAATGAGCTCCGAAGCACCAGGAGGCTGATTATAACAATAACAACAGTTGATTGGCAAGTTTTCATGCTTGTAAACTGTTTAATAAATGTAACCAAAGCCGTGAAAGATTGAGGAAAGATGTACACGTTCGTAAGTACTTTGCGTAACTGTGATTTACCCATTTCCTCCCCCTATCGTGTCTCCCTTCCTACTTTCTCTCTTCACCTGTCCTATATTCTTTTCCATCATAACTTTCATCATCTTGAAATATTTCTCCTCTCTCTTCCTTGCTCTGTGTTTATTCCTTCTTGTCCTTCTTCTGCGTCTTCACTTACGTCCTGCTCTTCTTCGTCCCCCTCCTCTTCCTTCTCCTCCTTCTCGTGTCCTCCTGTCTTCCTCCTCCTCTTCCCTCACCATCCCAGCCCTCACCATCCCAGCCCTCACCATCCCAGCCCTCACCATCCCAGCCCTCACCATCCCAGCCCTCACCATCCCAGCCTCCACACTAGCATATCCTTCCCCTTTGATCAATCATTTTTCAACTGGTCCCAACAGAGGCAATGCTGCTCACTCAGCTTTGCATTTCTATGGCACAGGGAAAAATACGAACGAGCATAAATGGAAGCTCCGCATGTTCTTCATGATATATTGGTTTCAAATTGTCAAGGACAGAAAACCTGTTAGCCTCGTTGAGGTCCTTCTTTCCCCTCGTTGGGGTATGATTGGCATCCTCCATAGGATGCAACCCACAACAGTTGTCTAACTCCCGGGTTTTAAATCGAATACACACACACACACACACACACACACACACACACACACACACACACACACACACACACACACACACACACACATACATACACACATCTAGTCAAGCATAAGACTAAACTGGAAAAGGTTCAAAGGTTTGCCACCAGACTAGTACCCGAGCTGAGAGATATGAGCTACGAGGAGAGACTACGGGAATTAAACCTCACTTCGTTGGAAGACAGAAGAGTTAGGGGGGGACATGATCACCACATTCAAGATTCTCAAGGGAATCGACAGGGTTGATAAAGACAGGCTATTTAACACATGGGGCACACGCACTAGGGGACACAGGTGGAAACTGAGAACCCAAATGAGCCACCGAGATATTAGAAAGAACTTTTTTAGTGTCAGAGTGGTTGACAAATGGAATGCATTAGGAAGTGATGTGGTGGAGGCTGACTTCATACACAGTTTCAAATGTAGATATGATAGAGCCCAATAGGCTCAGGAACCTGTACACCTGTTGATTGACGGTTGAGAGGCGGGACCAAAGAGCCAGAGCTCAACCCCTGCAAGCACAACAAGGTGAGTACAACTAGGTGAGTACACACACACACACAAACACACACACACACACACACACACACACACACACACACACACACACACACACACACACACACACACACACACACACACACACACACACACACACACACACACACACAAACACACACACACACACACACACACACACACACACACACACACACACACACACACACACACACACACACACATTAGATACAAGGACTCAGTTGTCAAACACAGGGCAGTTTTCAAGATGGCTGTGATTAATTATAATCCGTCACAGAATTACAACGAAACGTGTAATTCTGTGACGGGCGATAAGCAGAAGCAGGAGGAGGGAGAACTACCTGCTGAGGGGTCTTGGTCGACCAGCAGACACATACAAACACTGCTTCCTCCACCCCTTACGTCTTTATATATCCCTGGGGCCAGATTCACGAAGCAGTTACGCGAGTACTTACGAACCTGGGGCCAGATTCACGAAGCAGTTACGCGAGTACTTACGAACGTGTACATCTTTCCTCAATCTTTGACGGCTTTGGTCACATTTATTAAACAGTTTACAAGCATGAAAACGTCCTAATCAACTGTTGTTATTGTTATAAACAGCCTCCTGGTGCTTCGGAGCTCATTAACTGTTTAATAATTGTAAAACAAAGCCGCCAAAGATTGAGAAAAGATGGACAGGTTCGTGAGTGATTGCGTAACTGCTTCGTGAATCTGGCCCCAGCTCCTTGTTCTCATATCCCTTTTAAGTGTAGTCATATTAAGTACTATATTTCTCCTCATAATTCAAGTTGTTCTCTCGAGTAATACTTCGCATTTTGACGAACAATAAAGAATAATTAAACGCTTAAATTCATTACAGGTTGGGCGCGAGGGCGTCGAGTCAAACTTGAAGCCCAGATGAGCCAAAGGTATGTTAGTTTTATTTTCTACCACAGACGTGGCCACACATTTACAATGCTAACCAGCATATATACATTTTCTTCTGTCCTCCATGGGCAGGGTGGTGGAGTATGAAGAATGGGGGGGGGGGAGGGGGTTATAGTTGAGGCTAACTTAATAAAGCTTCAAGAGTCCGCAACCACATCTAGGTAACTATATATAGGAAAGTACAGTCAGCAAACCAGAATTACGAAAATACTTGAGTCGTGTATCTTAAAGCGTAAAAGCAGCACTTAGAAATCATCATAATTCTACAATAACATTTATTTAAACAAACTTTTTGTGTTTTCAACGCTAACACCAAGATTTTTGGTGGAAATTTGGGCCCCAGAAACCCCCGTCACGAGACCCATAGATCCGCCTTATGCTTAAAGTTTGGACGAAAAAATTACAGTATACGAATTGTTCATTTACATACGTCAACTGAAGTTTGTCTCTATGGACAGGCCCTTAAACTAAAAACTTTTAGAAACTTTCCTTATAAAGACCTCTCAATAGCTTGGTCGATAGAGCTTCGCTCCCCACACGTGCGGGGTTCCAGAGTTCGAGTCTCCTAGGACTCCAGGTGAATGGAAAGCCCTTAAACTTTTAATTACGTCATTAAAAAGCTATACAGATTACTATCGTAATGCGAAAATGATGGAATTAATTATGAAAACATTTGTGTGAACTTGCATTGATTAATACGTTTTAGATTACCAGTCAAGATACAGACAAACACAGAATCGCCTGTTTCTTAAACTAAAATGTCTGGCCTTTTGAGAGACGATTAATTTTAGCGATCATCAGATAGTCCTGAAAGCTTGAGTGAGTTATGAATGCCTCCAGACAGCCCTGGAAGCACTAAAGGCTCCAAGAGTTCCTCCATACATCCCTGGAAGCACTAACGGCTCCAAGAGTGCCTCCAGACAGCCCTGGAAGCACTAACGGCTCCAAGAGGGCCTCCAGGCAGCCCTGGAAGCACTAACGGCTCCAAGAGGGCCTCCAGACAGCCCTGGAAGCACTGAAGGCTCCAAGAGGGCCTCCAGACAGCCCTGGAAGCACTGAAGGCTCCAAGAGGGCCTCCAGACAGCCCTGGAAGCACTAAAGGCTCCAAGAGTGCCTCCATACAGCCCTGGAAGCACTAACAGCTCCAAGAGTGCCTCCAGACAGCCCTGGAAGCACTAAAGGCTCCAAGAGGGCCTCCAGACAGCCCTGGAAGCACTAAAGGCTCCAAGAGGGCCACCAGACAGCCCTGGAAGCACTAAAGGCTCCAAGAGTGCCTCCAGACAGCCCTGGAAGCACTAACGGCTCCAAGAGGGCTTCCAGGCAGCTCTGGAAGCACTAACGGCTCCAAGAGGGCCTCCAGACAGCCCTGGAAGCACTGAAGGCTCCAAGAGGGCCTCCAGGCAGCCCTGGAAGCACTAACGGCTCCAAGAGTGCCTCTAGGCAGCCCTGGAAGTATGAATTGCACAACGAGTGCTTGAACACCGCGTGTAAAATGCAACAGGGCCTGGGGTGAGCGGAGCAACAGAGGGGAAGACGAACCTGTGTCTTGAAGGTCGGTGTCTGAGAGCGAGGGGGAGACAGACAGTTTATAAAGTACTCACCTAGTTGTGCTTGCCGGGGGGGTTGAGCTCTGGCTCTTTGGTCCCGCCTTTCAACCATCAATCAACTGGTGTACAGGTTCCTGAGCCTACTGGGCTCTATCATATCTACATTTGAAACTGTGTATGGAGTCAGCCTCCACCACATCACTGCCTAATGCATTCCATCTGTTAACTACTCTGACACTGAAAAAGTTCTTCTTTCTAACGTCCCTGTGGCTCATCTGGGTACTCAGTCTCCACCTGTGTCCCCTTGTTCGCGTACCACCCTTGTTAAACAATTTATGCAGGCGAAGAGTCACAATAACGTGGCTGAAGAATGTTGACCAGACCACACACTAGAAGGTGAAGGGACGACGACGTTTCGGTCCGTCCTGGACCATTCTCAAGTCAAGACACAATCGACTTGAGAATGGTCCAGGTAGCACCGAAACGTCGTCGTCCATTCACCTTCTAGTGTGTGATCTAGCTAAACAGTTTATCTTTATCTAAAGTGATTCATCTTCACTGTTGCCATCGTCAGCCTCAGCATTGCCATCACTATCGAACCAGTCACTGCCGGATGGGCTCAAGAACCGGCCCTTGTGGTACTCCATTCGTAACCTCTCTCTCTCTCTCTCTCTCTCTCTCTCTCTCTCTCTCTCTCTCTCTCTCTCTCTCTCTCTCTCTCTCTCTCTCTCTCTCTCTCTCTCTCTCTCTCTCTCTCTCTCTCTCTCTCTCTCTCTCTCTCTCTACTCCGATGTCTCTGCTCTCACTGTAACCCTCTGCTTCCTACCCGAGAGATACTCTCTCTCTCTCTCACACACACCTTAGGCTCTTCCAAATACACCAGCCTACTTATGTAGTTTGTGTGAGAGTCCTTCATGCTGAACCTAATATGTGTCTCTATTTGCACCACCGCCCCAAATGACTACAAAAACTAAGCAACAGAGCAAACAAAGAGACAATCAAATAGACTGTGCCTGAGAGAGAGAGAGAGAGAGAGAGAGAGAGAGAGAGAGAGAGAGAGAGAGAGAGAGAGAGAGAGAGAGAGAGTAAAAGATATGTGCTAATTGGGAACCGTGATTCCCAATTAGCCGGATGAATGTCAGTAAAGGTCAAACTATCCCAGCTCACTGGACACGTCCCAAACCCGTTTTTCGTTTCGTGTGTTTTTGTTTACACGTGTGAGGCTGAGGGAGGGGTGTAAGAGGGGGGGGGGGTGGGAGCTAATAGTCTGGAGTGTTTGTGAATCAGACAGATGTTTAACAGCTGCCTGAGGGGAGGAAAAATAACCCAGATATCATCCTACAGAGAATAAACACACCCGATAGAACATATTTTCAGTTGTGTGTACTCGCTTAATGGGAGTGATCACATCACTGACTTCATCTGTCCCCCATCACTGCACTCACCTCACTCACTGCACTCACCTCACTCACTGCACTCACCTCACTCACTGCACTCACCTGTGGCGTGGTAGAGGTGAATGCAGCGCCTGTCTCTCATACATCACCAATTTACCGCCTCGGCCAGAGGGGCGCGTGTCCCATGTTTTATAGATGAAACCACATCAATGTGTTCAGGGGAGCTCCGAGAGTGGCGGTCTCGCCCTGGACATAGCTAGGGCGGCAGCTGACTTTTGTGAGATGTTCTTCGTGTGTACACAACTGTATAACATCGCCGGGTTCGATCCCCGGCGATGGCGGAAACAAATGGTACAAGAAGGTACATTGGGATTATGAGGATACAAAATATGGTAATTGCAATCTTGTAAAGCCACTAGTACGCGCAGCGTTTCGGACAGGGAAACTTTACGACTATACAGCACTGGGAAGGGGTCAGGATGAAGACATTTAATGAAATAGGTGACAACTGTCGGGGCCACGTAGCCTGGTGGATAGCGCGCAGGACTCGTAATTCTGTGGCGCGGGTTCGATTCCCGCACGAGGCAGAAACAAATGGGCAAAGTTTCTTTCACCCTGAATGCCCCTGTTACCTAGCAGTAAATAGGTACCTGGGTGTTAGTCAGCTGTCACGGGCTGCTTCCTGGGGGTGGAGGCCTGGTCGAGGACCGGGCCGCGGGGACACTAAAGCCCCGAAATCAACTCAAGATAATCTCAAGATAGTTGCAAGAGCCGAGGTGACATTTTATGTCGGCATGAATATGGACTCAGTGAGTAAGGACTTCATAGCTCCGCTGTTTACTGTTCCGTGCGGCAGCGTTCTTGTGTGTCAATGTCAAATTCTTTACCGTCTCTTTACCCCAGTATAAATGACAAATATTGAAGCCCCCCCCCCTCTACCCCTTTCCCTGTGGTCAAGTTGACAGCAAATTATATGGCTGTTCACAGGAGAGCGCGGGGCTAGTGAGTCTTGCGGTGTCACATCATTCATCAGAATGACAAGGCTACATTAAGTATGCTTCTCTATTGATCTGCCGAGGGGAGTATGACTTCAGGAGTTTGAAATTTGTGTATTTACTAACACGTCTCTCATCCGAGGGTGACCTCATCTGAGGGTAGGGATGACCTCTAACACGAGGTCATCCCTACCCTACCCTCCCTCAAACTAGGTCATCCCCTACCGTGGGTGTCGAACCTGCTCTCACACACCTTCCAGTATCTTCAAGCTTCATATCCCATTATCCAAAGGTGAAAGGATCCTTGTATCAAGGTCCAGCTTGCTCCTTACTCCTTTTCCCTACTTGAGACAAATTGCTTAAACCAGCTTAGTCTTGGGAGATATTCCAACAATTGCAGTCACAACCCACAATCATAATCAACAATCTAAGATTTCAATCGTTGAAGAAAAACTTCGAAGAAACTTCTCTACCGCTGGGACGACCAAAGACAAATGAGTAAGAGAGAAGGAGAAGAAATGTGTGAGAATAAGAGAAGGAAATAGGAGGAGCAGGAGAAGAGATATACGAACGTGAGTAATAGAAGAGAAGGTTGAAGGAGAGGGGGGGGGGGAGGATCAAGGGACAAAAGTAAAGAGGCAAAAGAGAAGAGGCAGCTAACATGAATACTGACGGAGAAGGGAAGGGAAAAGGGTGTGGAAAGGGTGTGGAAAGGGTAATGGGGAAATAAGGAGCTAAGGGCACAGAGAGGGACTAAACAGCACTCAAGAGGCGCGCCACGATGGGAAAGCGGAGAAAGTGCATTAAGGATGGGAAAGAGTGTGAGAACGCTGAGAAGCGAAGGAAGGGGGGGTGGTGGGGAGGTGTAGGTAACGATTGGAATAAAACGGGAAAGAAGGCCAGAGTGGAAAGGGAAAATGTAATGGAAAAGGGAAAACTGAGCGAGAGAGGCGCAGAGTGAACCCTCAGTCAAGTGGAGTGAGGCGGAGCAAGAACAGTGTGAGGGATCAAGAGCAGTGTGAGAGAGGAGCAAGAGCAGTGT